GCGTTAAGTCCCACATGTCCTTGCCGAGTATTGGCACGTGTGCAAAGACGCTGATTGCGGCACAAGACGAAGTTCGGCTGTCCTTGGAGATTGTCCACATAGCTGTTTCTGTATCATAAGGAACGATTCTGATATTGTGTTAAGCAGACGTTTGTTGTGCTCTGGCCTGTGCATGCTGGCTTCTGGCCCCAGTTAGCAGTAGGCTCTAGGCTAGCTCATTAGCACTTCACATGTGGCTGAGCAGCCCAGGGGAAATGAACTGCAACACCCAAGCAGCACTTGTGCTTGGAAATACACAAGATAAACAGCTGCATCTTTTGGCTGCAGGGCGAGAACTGACTGGTTTGTACATCTGCACTAAATAGCCTTGGAAAGGAGACCAACCCCCAACCCCCCCCCCCAGCCTACAAGCTAAGCTAAGGATAAGCTGTAGGCACAGCAGATGACCCATCTCAGCTGTGTAAGTGAGGAATGATTTAGTGATCCTTGGAGGACGGCATTCGGTGCCAGCATTTGTCAAGCTTCAGCTCTTATTCGTCGCTCCGTATGGGTAAAACCAAGTGATGCCTAGCAAAGTCTTTCTGACCTTTCCTTATTTAACTAAAGAAAATCAGACTCCGTTGCCTTTTGGGGACTGCCCAGTTGTCCTCTCATCTTACAGCGTTTGTTTGCGGTTTAAAGGCGTTTGACATTTTCGTTGTGTGCAGCATTTTGTGCTCGGCCCTAAAAATAATCTACTTTGCAATAAATTGATGGTAGCTAAAGGCCCAGCATGCTGGTAGGGTGTGTGTGTGTGGGGGGGAGAACTCACAGGGGGAAATTAAGGGGTGCATCCAGGGACTCCGCTGCAGTTAATGGGAAACCTGCTCTTTGCCCTGTCAAAGTTGAAGGGAAGGAATAGAACATCCCAGAACATCTCCCATTCCACTGCTACTCCACTCCACTCCCCCAGCCTCCCATCTACCAAGGGGGGGAAGGGGTTGAGCAGAAAAACAACCTTAAAGGAAAGGTTGAAACTCCTAGAGTCAGTTTGGTGTAGTGGTTAAGTGCGCAGACTCTAATCTGGGAGAACCGGATTTGATTCCCCACTCCTCCACTTGCACCTGGCTGGATGACCTTGGGCAAGCCATAACTCTGGCACAGCTGTTCTTGAAAAAGAGCAGTCTCTGTCAAGAGCTCTCTCAGCCCCACCCACCTCACAGGGTGTCTGTTGTGGGGAGGGGAAGGGAAAGGAGTTTGTAAGACGCTCTGAGACACCTTTGGGTAGTGAAGGGCGGGGTATAAATCCAATCTCTTCTCTTCTTCTTCTCTTGAGGGAAGAGACGGTGGTTCAGTGGAAGAGCTTCTCCTTTGCATGCAGAAAGCCCAAGGTTCAATCCCCAGCATCTCCAGTAAAACATAAAAATAAAAAGGACTGGGTGGTAGTTTATGTGAACGACCTCTAACTGAGACCCTGGAGAGCTGCTGCCAGTAGGCAATACTGACCCTGACGGGCCAACGGTCAGATTCAATATAAGAAAGTTTCATGTGTATTCAAAGCTAGACTCTACCTACTCCTCTCCCTGCACCAGGGGACCCTCTGTTCAAGACTGCAGCCGCCACCCCCTTCCCCCGTGCTGTTTTTTTGTTAATAATATTGGAGCGAAAACGTGACATGCTTTGCATTGTGGGTAGTTTGGTCCTTGGAGGAATGTGCCAAACAGCTGTGTTCCATTTCCCACCTCTCCTATTAACTTACGGCCTTTAAATCAATAAGGAAAAGAACGTGAAACACAAGTATTTCTTCACCAACTCAAGGGAAGGGGGGGATTCTGGCATGCAGCTGCAGAGGCTCTAAAACAGTTGTTCTAATACTCTGGAAAATTATCTCCAAGTCAGAAGGGAAATCCAATAATCCCGAATTAAGACTCCGTGCTCAGGTGGGATAGAAGCATATGTGAAGGATAAGGCTCTTCCATATTAAATTACTTGGACTCACTACCTCTAGAAAGAAATGATAAGCCGCCGCCTTGGTCTATAGCAAAATGAAAAAGCTATAGTGCTAGAGAGCCGGCTTTCTTTAGGGCCAACCAAACACAAAGTAATGTACAAGCTTTCAAGTTCTGCAGAACTCCTCATCAGGCTGGATTTTAAAAAATTGTTTGAGGCTGTTTGGTATTCAGTACAGAATGCAGGCAACTGTTCTTCCTTCACAAGAACTTGAGCGAAGCCATGCTAGATCAGGCCAATGGCCTATCCAGTCCAACACTCTGTGTCACACAGTGGCCAAAACCCAGGTACCATCAGGAGGTCCACCAGCAGGGCCAGAACTCCAGAAGCCCTCCCACTGTTGCCCCCCAAGCACCAGGAACACCGAGTATCAGACCCAGACATAGTGTTCCATCTGTACCTTGTGGCTAATAGCTACTGATGGACCTCTGCTCAATATGTTTATCTAATCCCCTCTTGAAGCTGTCTATGCTTGTAGCCACCACCACTTCTTGCGGCAGTGAATTCCATGTGTCAGTTACTCTTTGAGTGAAGAAGTGCCCAAAACTTTAGATCAGTGCCCAAAACATATTTTGTCTTCACCTCTCTCCCCTGCCTTCTTTTGTTGTTTATCATGCAGCCTAATGAAGAATTCTGAAGCACATGATAGTTTGCATACTGTGTTATTTCAGTTTATAGTAACAAAAGGTATTGTGCTGCTTCGGCTTTTACTTATAGAAATTGATTTCTTTCCTGGGGGCAGCTGTGGAAGCCATCCTGAGCAGGTGATCTATTCAGAAATCTCCTGTTTCATTTGATGGGACTTACTCCCAGGAAAGAAAAATGGACTGCAATCCATGTGTGAGAGAGAAAGTGACTCAGAAACAGCTCTCCAAATGCAACCAAATTATGCAGGGCGAGGTAGCAACTGGTGCCATTTTGTGTGACCTTTCACAGTATGGGACAATTTAACATCTTAGCAGGGGTTCTTATGTTACAACAGCAGTATGGGAACCACAGCAGTTCTATAGCAATGTGAGAAGCCTGGAGCCATTCATGAGAAACCTGTATTCTTGGGCAAGTACTGAGAACTGTGTTGGTTAATCAGGTGTGGTCCAGGACTCAGGCTGCAGCAAATGAAACTCAGCTAGACTTTGGGGGCGCCTAGAAAATTCTGCAGCACCCATGTACTTGATTCAACATGGAGTCTGAATGGATTTGAGTGATGTTATGTGTAAGGGGCTTAGCAGACAAGTCTTTGGCCCCGTTCACATGGAACATTTGCCGCGCTAAAGATACAGATGATAGGCGGATTTTCCGGGCGCGATCACACAGCAACATCTGGGAAGTGTGGTGAACTAGTACTTACTAAGTGGCTTCGTACCGAAGATACGGAGTAAAAAACTAGTACTTACTATGTACTAGTTTCCGGAAAACGCGGGGCAATGGCGGTCGTCTGATCACGTCCCGTCCTAGTCCCGACGCAAACCGGTTAGTCTTAACAGGATGCGCACAAATGATCATGCGCATGCTCACCTTTTGGTGAGAAAAAATATTCCCGTTTGCCACGGAAGCAGCGCCTGGCGATTGCTGGTGTGATCTCGCCGCACCTCTTCTTTGGGTGAGAAAAAATATTCCCGTTTGCCACGGAAGCAGCGCCTGGCGATTGCAGGTGTGATCGCGCCGCACCTCTTCTTTGCCGTGCTGCAGGATAGCCGTGTGATCGGCACCTCACACCCTAACCATAGGACCTCGACGGGACGTGTGATCGGGCGGCCACACATTATTTTGCTCTGGGGCCACCCCGCCCCCCCCCCCCCCCCCCCCGCGCGCGCATTTTCCGGCCCTTGTGACCAGGACTATAGTGGGCTCTTGAGAGTTCAAGATCACTATTTGGGGGCTCTTTATGAAGAAGACCCTCTGCCACTCTGAAAACCTCCATTGGTCAGCACTGCACTGATGGAGCAGTGCTGGAGAAATAAGTCCTCCTTCAACATCATTGCTGCAAAGGATGCCTTTGTACAGGTCTTTCCTGGTGTTTAGAGAGAGAAGAAGACATTGGATTTATACCTCGCCATTCACTACCTGAAGGAGTCTCAGAGCATTTTACAATCCCTTTCCCTTCCCCTCCCCACAACAGACACCCTGTGAGGTAGGTGGGGCTGAGAGAGCTCACTCAAGAACTGCCCTTGAGAGAACAGCTCTGAAAGAACTTGTAACTGACCCAAGATCACCCAGCTGGTGCCATGTGGAGGAGTGGGGAATCAAACCCAGTTCTCCCAGATTAGAGTCTATGCTCCTAACTGCTACACCAAATTAGCTCTTGAGGGACAACCTTTCTCCGTATGCCCTCTAGCTGCCAAACTATCTGCTCCATCATCACAAATCCCTGGAAAATGGGGGGAAGCAAACCTGGCTGCCCTAGATCTACCTTGATATGTTAACCTGAAAATCAATTTCTTTTCAGACTATCATTTTTGGCACTCCAATATGCATAAAGGCAATGTGCTCCACCATCAATCTGCTCAATATGCACGGCTGCCAAGTAGTATGAAAGGGGCTATGCATATATTTTCTCTGTACCTGCAGTTTTGGTACATGCAAACTGAACACTGGATTTTTCAAGGTACGTGTTTGAATATACTATTGGTGTGCATGCACACCTTTGTCCCTTTTCATACAACATGGCCCTTTATATCAGGAGGATCACAAGCGATATTTCCCCCATTGTGCATGGCTGGAGCACCATGTGACTATCTGACTGTCTGAAAAGGGCTTCCAATGCATCTTAAAGTTCAGGAAGAAAACATCATTCACATAGGTGGACTTGCATCTTCAGAAATATAATATGGTAATCAACCCCTATGCTAAGAGTAACTGTTGCTCCGCAAAAACCCACAAAACCCACTTTTTCTCTGATGGCTCTGTTAGTGTCTTCCAAGCAAGCTTCAAGACATGCAATCATGTCTGTCCTATGAATTCATTGTTCTTTATGGTCGCAATCTTCAAGGGGAGAATGAAGGAGAATAATAAATGTTTCATATCTTTTTCTTTATTAAAATGGCAGCAACAGTGAACGAAAGAAAAGTTTTCCACATTTCTTCCCGCTGCAGACAGATCCGACTACAGAAAGCTGATTCAACAATGCACAGTGTAGAAGAGTCGTTAGGAAACCAAGTGGCATTCTGGGTAAATTAATGTTGCTATTTGTAGCAGATATCCTGATTCCAGGTCAGGTGCATGCACTGATTAGGAAATGCCATGCTTTGTAGATACATTATTGTACAATAATTTACATCATCCCAAATCCATTAGACTACTTAGATGAGTGAATCCAAGAGGTATTTTAGAGTAAAAAAAAAAATCACATTACAGATTTTGCACACAAAGCCAAAGACACGATGCACACACAGGAGCAGCAGACTTCACATCCTTTTCCAAATATGCATCCTCCAGTGATGCCGTGGAGTGGGCGAGTCACTCAGTCTTGGTAAGACTTCACCAGAAGCCACATGAGGAGCACTGTGATCAGCACAATCATAAAGTTGAGGAAAAGCTCCTGTGTGGATCGATCCATGGCCAGGAATGGACGACGGGAGAACAGAGGCCGGTGGCTGGAAGTCGACGAGGAGTCTCTTGTTGCAAGTTGTCCTTGAGATCAACCTTGTCCTCTCCTAAAGAAAAAGAAAAACCCCAACAAAACTAGAGTGTGGGAAGACTGGAAGCCTACCCCACAGAGCTGTTGATACCACTATAAGTAAATGTTATTTCTATTGCAGTT